AGCGTCTAGAAAACTATAAATAATGGAGTCAAATCTGAACAGATTCAAAGTCTAATAATCTGATAAGTAAAAGCATATCTAAAACTATACAGAAAAGAGAAAAGTGAATGGCGAATCTAGAGCCTTATATACATGGCTGATAAATATCATAAACAATGTCAGTGGCTCCCTCGGCAGCTGCGATTTGAACGTCACAATTATTATAGTCCTACGAAGCGCAGCGCTTCAACCGCGATCCCAGAAGGCAAACTAAGACCGAAAAATCTGGCACTTTGGCAGGAAATTTGAACATCATTTTGGCCAAGGGGTGCGAGAACGAATCTTCAAAAGTTAAAATCCCTGAAGGGAAGTGATGTTGAAGTTTCAATTGATCGACTCATCATTTTTTCTTGCATACTTTTAGTATCCCCTCGTCTAACGATGCTATCTGTTTAATAATCTCTGAAAAAACCCCAACCACAGTGTCTTCATTCACTCATTACTGGGTTTAATTATTTCCAATTAAAAAAACTTTCAAAGGGTGTTTTCAACGGGTGGGGGTGAGTCCATCTACAGTTATATCTGCTTTTCTGGGAAATACTCTTCCAAGGTAACATATTCTTTATCATATAGTGAACAACTGTTATTGACATATTATCATCCATGATTTTCGGGTCCGAAAAACCGCAAGAGGGGAAGAAGAAAATGTGATTGAAATAATTTCAGCCTTGCGTGACAAAGACAAACGCTCGAGTATGTTACATCTACAAGAGTATCGGATTGATTCCCGTCTTTAACGTCTTCGGCAAAGAACATTTGACCTACTGGTATAAATGATTGAATTTCCTCATTTCAAGTCCACAATGAAGCTCAATTGTACCTTAGAACTTTCTTAAAACTTAAGTGTGTTCGAATATGCCAAGTAAAACAGACGCCCTCCACTGGCTTACGGAATATGATATTGTAAACAATTTCGTCGTGGGAAATGGATGAGAATTTGAAACAAAAGGAGGAGTGATAAAAACCAATCTGTCCCGTTAGCTATGCAAGGCTAGCTTATTGTCCTAAAATGTGCTTGGAATTTTATAGTTAACCACAGGGTGTCTATTTAGAATATGCCGTGATATATCTATAGGCCGCCTAGACCGTCTAGGAAAGGCAGAAAAATACCATCGGAGGACAAATACCTTCAAAATGTAGAGGAAGAAATCAACGACATCTCTCAGTGGCTATGTTTTCAAAAACAAACAATCGTCAATGTTGGTGATTTAAACATGGACAGGTTACGACCTGACAGTGCTGAGGGAAAGATTCTAACTGATCTTCAAGAAATTAACTACTTGGAGTGCTTGATAACAAAACCAACAAGAATATCAGTTCACTCACAAACGCTTCTCGATGTTCTGCTCACAAATACCCCAGAACTTTTTGTAAAAAGTGGAACGTACGATCCAGGACTAAGTGATCACTGTATGGTATACGGAGAAATGAAAGAGAAAGTTCATAAGCACAGAACGAAGGTAACTACCTACAGGCAGACGAGAAACACTGATTTTCAACAGCTCAACCACGAACTTCTAGAAGCACCGTGGCATGTGGGTGAAATATTCACTGATGTAGATGATAAGTACGAGTATTGGACCGCCCTCTTTGAGTGCACAGTGAACGCACACGCCCCTATCAAAAGAAAACGTGTGCGTGAAAAGGACGTACCCTACATGACCCCAACTTGGAAAAAGGCGATAAGGAACAAGAGGAAACACGCCATACTGTTTGCGAAGAACCGAACGCCAGAGAACATGGAACTTAAAAGAAAGTACAGGAATATTGCCACACGCGAACGGAGGAAGGCTATCATGGAATACTGGTTCGCCAAGTCAGAGGAGCTGAAATCCAAGCCAAGGGAGTTTTACAACGCCTTTAGGCCATTTATTAATAGCAAAACTAAGGAGTCCACCTTAATCAGTTTAAAAACAGAAGAGGGCATCATTGTAAAAGATCAATGCGAGGTAGCTGAGCAATTAGTGAACTATTTCACCACAGCTGCTGTTAGCATTGTAGGAGACAATGCTATTTGCATCACAGAAGAGAACCATGACAACCATGGCAGCGTTAAAGCTCTAAGAGAAGCATACC